GACAATGCACACAAGCCAGCTCTGGGTAATGTAAGCAACACAAACAAATATATGCTATTCAGGAATATTGAAAACTTGGGAAAGACTCCCAGAAGGACTGGCAAGTCAGGCTTACAGGTTCTGAAGCCTCATGTTAAGTCCAAGTTTAGGCTTTAGGACTGATGATGTGAAAATATCTAGACCACTGCCATGGACTTCAGCTTCAATGCTAGATGCTGTTCCTGGTATTTTGGAAACTGTCACAGGTTGTAGTCACTCCCAACATCCTCATCAAGATGTGTCCCTACGTCTTATCTCCACTGGCTTCTGAATCCAAGTCTTGAGCTAGTGTGTCTGGTTGGGGCAGAGAGAAAATCTAGGTCATGGGAAAACTGGAAGAATGAGATGCTTGAATTTTCCCCTGCTATAGTGAGAGACAGCTTCTGCCTCATTAGAAGATGTATTCCCTAAATCTAGGAATGGGATTCAGATAGAAAGTATACAAAAGCACTGGTAAATATTTTCTACATGTGGGTCCTAGGGCTTTTACCGTTTTCCGAATAAGAACACTGAGGCTCAGCCAAAGTATGAACACACGTCTAGGCCATGTTATGGACCCATCAGTCTTACTCTAACCCGTTCTCTTGGCCACTTTCTTCAGTGCTTTCTTAACAAATGTCATGATGAGAACAATGTCGACCTCAGCAAACCCTCCCACACTCCAGTCCCACTTCTCTGACTCATAAACTCTGGGTCTCCTGAGAGCAGAAGATCCTCTGTCTAGCCTTCAGCTATCCACTTTAGAGGAGGAAAATAGTTCTCTAGAGTCAAGCCATGGGGTTTGTCCTTGGAATGTAGCTCTTGGGAACTATGATCTCTGGACAGACTCCCTTCTTCGTGGATGCCTGTTACTCTGTATTTGTAATGGAATTCTTAATGAACAGGAAAGGGCATAGCTGAAGTCTCTTTTCTAACACTGAGCCCTCTCGATATACAGTGGTAACTGAAAATCTTCCCTGGACACAGTCCATACTGCAGACACTCTTGTATTCTAGTCCATGAATTTGTTATGTGAACGTTCCTCATGCACCCTCAAAGATCTGCAAGACTAGGAGCTATATTTTTTTTGCAGGAAGCTTAGCTTACCAGAGAGATCTCTGAGGTCAGATTCTTGAGCTTGAATCCCACCTCTACTTCTTAAATATATATACTCAGTTCACCCCTTCCTACTACTTCAGTTTCCTCTTTGGTAAAAGCAGTGCCATAAAAGAGATGTTATGAGAAAGAAGTTTATAAAAGTGCTGAAATAGGTGTCCAATAAGTATCGTCATCAGTGGAATACTTATAAGCTAATAGAGAATAACAATTCATAAAATAGATCAACAAGAGTATAAGCCTCATCCTCTAGGTAGCTCCCTCATCTTCATTCCTTTCCTCTTAAACATTTAACAGTTTGAAAACCACCAATTTTGTCCAAAATACAGAATGGGATGTGATGCCTAAGAAGGCAAGGCAAATGAGTTAGACTTGCAACCTGGTGCTATTTCAAAAGCCTCCCAGTTTCCCACCACTGTATGCTTAAAATTCAGTTATTTTTCTAAGAAGTGAACCACATCATAATTTTCACCTACGCTTTACACCAGGCTCCAATATCTTAGCATACCAAACATCCCCAATTCATAGGCCAGAGGTTGACAAGCTTTGTGGGTAAAGAGACAGATAATATACAGTTTATGTCCTTTGAGCCATACTGTCTTTGGTGCAATTACTCAGTTCTGTTGTTCTGGCATGAAAGCAGTCATAGATGCTATGTAAATGAATGAGTATGTTTGGGATACAATAAACCTTTACGTATAAATGCAGGACATAGGCTGGTTCTGGTCCCAGGGACTAGAGTTTTGATTATGAGTATCTCCCTGTGAGAGATTTCCTTACTTTTGTTTATTCTTGTAAGGTTCTAAAGCAACAAGGCACATAAGTGTCAGGGCTTAAGCATTTCTCCAGGGTACCTTCATCACATCCTATCTTTTCTGTAGAAGTACTTAAAGTACATGCCACATTGCAAGTAAAATAGGCAGGTATTTTCCAGCATGTTCTGGGAATAATGTTGGTTGTCATGAGTAAGAGTGTGGTTCAAGTAGAGCTCTTTTTTTTTTTTTTGGAGAGATTTTCACTGTAGGGCGCGTGCGCTCGCCAGACAGACAGAGAGAGACATAGAGACAGAAAGCGAGAAATCACCCCCCAGGGGGAATGGTCACGCCGCAATCCCTTCTCCTCCATTCTCCTCTCAGGATCTTGGGCACACACGCACACGCGCCCGGCGTGAGTTTTAAGCCACCGGGTCCGGGACACGAACCACGGTCGACTACGTGGGAATCCAGCGACATAGCCATTACGCTAACTGCTGGTTCCCAAGTAGAGCTCTTTTTTAAAAATGAGGCATTCAATCTCACACCTTGGAAATCACACCACAGACGTGCAGGTTGCTTTTAGAGACAGGGAAGCCACATGGACAGCTCTGTGTAAGTTCTCAGCAAAGCCGGGACCAGAGCCTGGTTTTCTTAATGCTAGTTGAAGATTCTTTCCACTACAGGACTAGGCTTGTATTAACCTTTTATTATGGACCACACTCAAGTCCGCAGAAGAGAGAAAACATTTCTCCATGGGACCAGCAGTTAGCATAATGGCTAGGTCGTTGTACTCCCACATAGCCGACCACGGTTCGAGTCCCAGACCTGGTGGCTTAAATCTCACGCCGGGCGCGTGTGCGTGCATGCCTAAAGAGGAGAATGGAGGAGAAGGGATTGCGGCATGGCCATACCCCCTGGGGGGTGATTTCTCGCTTTCTATCTCTCTGTCTGGAGAGCGCACATGCCCTATAGCAAAAAACTCTCAAAAATTTTTTTTCTCCACAATTTAAAAATTGGGAACCAGCAGTTAGCGTAATGGCTATGTCGCTGGACTCTCACGTAGTCGACCACGGTTCGCATCCCGGACCCAGTGGCTTAAAACTCACGCTGGGCACCTGTGCGTGCCCAAGATCTGGGGCGGAGAATGGAGGAGAAGGGATTGGGGCATGACCATCCCCCCTGGGGGGTGATTTCTCGCTTTCTGTCACTATGTCTCTCTCTGTCTGTCTGGCAAGCACACGCACCTTATAGCGAAAACCTCTCCAAAAAAAAAACAACCCAAAAAAACGAAGGCCTTGCCTAAAATCTCCCACGTCCTTCCATACTCTGCATCTTTCTTTCTTCTATCTACAAACACTTCTATTTGTATTTGTCAGTCCTTATTTGGAGCCAGAGAGATAATAGGCGCTCAATAAATGTGTGTTGAGAATTGAATAAAAGATAAATGACGTGTAGTTCTTTATGATCACAAAGCTCAGTCTAAAGAATGTCTACACGCACCCCTGTAACTCTGACACTGCAGAGTCGAGGCTGTGATGACATCTCCCTTTCAGTCCTGCCAGAAAATTGCCTTTCAGTGAGAAATCTTCCCACCAAGGTTTTCACCCCCTCCTTAGCTGCCCCTTTCCTCTTCAGATAGAGCACCTCTGTCTTTTGTACTTGCAAATGAATTGTGATTAGTTTTCACCTCTAGCCCAGGGGATTAGCCCAGGGACCTTTGATCTTCAGGTATCGATTTGCATCTTAAAGGAAGTATGATCTCATCTGGGCCAGCTCAAAATTCCATTCCTTACCCCCTATTCCCTGTCTGTTTACCAGCCCCAGGCTGGACAGGGCCTCCCAAGTGGGGCTGAAACAACAAGATCAGCTATACTCTGAAGAGAAGACAGAGGAAAACAAATTTCCCATCTGACTCCGTAAAGGTGGGAAATGGACATTTGCTTTGTGAACACAAGTTGGTCTGCTATTCTTCCTCCCTCAGATCAGAGAGACTGCCCAAATTTCTGAGCCTGCAGTGGGAATTGTGGTAATTTCTGGATCCCAGCTAGAGGTTGTGTGATAAAATGGACTGAGTACCTTCTTGAAAATCAGACAAATTGAGGTTCAAGTCTTGATTTGGTCTTCAACCATTTCTAACCTGTGTGACTCTGGACAGGTTTTATAATCTCTCTAGCTTTTGATTTTTCTCATTTTTAAGAATAAAAGTCCTAAAGAACTCTAGTAATAACATCAAGAACAGCTAGTGTGTGTGAAGAAAAGCAATCATGCATTTCAGGTGCTTCGGTAAAACTTCGTCTTGAGGGACCAGCAGTTGGCATAACGGCTATGTCACTGGACTCCCATGTAGTCAACTGCATTTCGAGTCCCAGACTTGGTGGCTTAAACTCACACCGGCGCGCGTGCGTGCGTGCCCAAGATCCTGAGAGGAGAACGGAGAAGGGATTGCGGCGTGGCCATCCTCTCTGAGGAGTGATTTCTGGCTTTCTGTCTGTCTGTCTCTCTCTGTCTTTCTGGCAAGTACACATGCCCTATAGCAAAAACCTCTCAAAAACAAACAAAACTTGGTCTTGAAAACTTACCTCTTCTCTTCACCATTATATTTGAGAAGATAAGTTTTTTTTCTTTTGCTTTAGGTCATGTACACTCATGGGGCAGGTAATGACGGAAGGAAGAAAATAAGAAAGCATCCCCCAGAAGGAATAGCCATGCTTCCGTCCATCCCTTCTCCTTTCAGAATTTTGGGTACACATGGACATGTGCCTGGTGTGTTCCTCAAGTCACCAGGTCCAGGACTCAAACCAGTCAGTCACATAGAGGATCTAGCCACTTTAACCACCAAGCCACTGGCTGGCAGCATCAGTTCTTGA